TGCAACACCCTTTTGATCAGCAAGCCCCCCCAGTTTCCTCCTCAAGGGAGATGTGCAATTATGCAGAAAAATATTATTGCGACATCTTGACGTCGAAAAGAAGCCCGGAGGAACTGACTTCTGGTCAGATGCACTTATCTGACTTATGGGACGTGGTGTCAGCCAAGCTCCCGCTGTCTGGTCGATTGGATTTAGATCGTCCGGTAACTGAGATAGAGATCAAGTACGCTGCGAAATCTATGGCCAAGGGCAAAGCCCCCGGCTCGGACAGTCTTACTGTAGAGTTTTTTCTACAGTTTTGGTCGAAATTCGGAAGTATCCTAGCAGAAATGTACAACGATGTCTTAACAGGAGGCGAACTTTCTGCTAGTATGTGCCATGGCGTGATCACCTTGTTGTTCAAGAAAGGGGCGACAGATGAGATTCGTAACTGGAGGCCAATCTCCAGACTGAATGTGTCGTATAAGATCTTAGCTAAAGCGTTGGCGAGAAGATTAGCTAAGTATCTACCGGAGTTAGTAGGTCAGGACCAGCCATCCTTTGTGCAAGGTCGCTCCATTTTTGTGAATATTGTCACTGTGATAGAAGCATTGGAAATTGTGGAAAAGGAAAACAGACCGTTATCCATTTTGCTGCTAGATCTGGAGAAAACTTACGATAGGGTAAATTGGAGGTTTGTGCTCACTACCCTACGTAAAATGGGCTTTGGTGAAAATTTATGCAGATGGGTAGTTGCGCTGTATACACATTCCACTGCAGTAGTGATGGTAAATGGCCTGCTGTCTAATCCCTTCCCACTGACCCGCTCTCTACGACAAGGTTGCCCCTTGGCCCCCCTCCTCTTTGTTATTCAATTGGAGGTGATCATGTGCAACATCAGATGCCTCCCGGAGATTGTGGGCTTAGCCCTGAAGGGTTCTGAGTGTAAGGCTAAGGCACTTGCTGATGATTTACAGGCCATTTGTGAGAATTCCTCGACGACGCTGGAAGCTTTGAAAACTCCGTTGGATGAGTATTCTCTATTCTCGGAAGCAGCAGTCAACTGGAGGAAGTCAGTTTATTTCCTCCCACAAGAGCTGGATCTAGAAGTGGATTGGGGTATGAGGCGTATCAATAAAGGCGAGGCAAAAAGGTTTTTGGGAGTGATGGTTGCACTGAGTAACTGTCAGGACACTCAGGAGGAATTGCTTCAGAACAGGGTGGTCTCTAGGATGAAAGTTTGGGGCGGGGCACCTCACTTGTCCACCTTTGGCCGTGCACTTGCTATTAATACTTCCCTTCTTTCACTCATTAGCTTTGTGGGAACGGTGCGTCTGTTTAGTCCCTCCTTTATAGCGTTTATCAGGAGATTGTCTGCTCGGTTTGGTTTGGAAGCCAAGGGGGGAGATGGAAAGGGGTTTCATTTCAAAGGTTGCATGGGAACTCATCGCCCAACCCAGGGATGAGGGAGGTCTGGATATTGTGGACCCGGAGCGCAGAAATATCCTTCAGTTAGCAAACTGGGTAGTTAAAGCTTCTGAGTGCGACGACACGGAGCATTGGCTGCAGATGGGGGAGCACATCCTGGCATCTGAATGGGATTTGGAGCGGGAGGAGGACGTTTGGCTGTGCTTACAGCTGGACTCATATGTGAATAGAAGAATCAGCTCAAAATTTTGGTCTGATGTGGTGAAAGCGTGGAGGAAAGTCAGGCCGACGGAGTGGACAAAACCCTCTACAAAAGAAGAGGTCTTGGGCCAGCGGTTGTTCGATAATCCAGCTATTACAGACCACGCGGGAGATCGTTTCAGAGGCAACAAGGAATCAGGGTCTTTTGGGGAGGCCTGGATTCGCAGGGGCGTCCTAAGGATTAGAGATCTGTGGGACATAACCTTGGGGTCATGGAAGTCGGGCCAAGATTTGAGGTCGATGTTAGGTAATTTGAGAAATGTGGAAGAGAAACTGGCATGCTTACTCCAAGCGATCCCACAAGCCTGGAAAGTCATTTTAGCCCCTGAAACGGTGGAGCCCCCGGACACCTGGTATATTACCAGGAACCCAACGGGGCCTCCCACTTATTGGAAATTGATTTCCAACTCCAAGGAAGGTGGTAGACAATTCCAGGAGTGGACTAGATCGCCCTATTCGAAAGGTCTCTCTCGTGCCACCTTCTCAGACTCAGATACGGAGGAAGAGGAGGGTGACAGCAGGGGCATACCCCTCTGTAACCCACCATTGGGCTCGCCATTGCTCCAGATCAAGGTAGCAGAGAGCTGGGAAGTAGAGACGAAACATTCAGTCCGCTCTACAATGGATGTACCGCTTGCTGAACGCCGGTTGGACTCAATGGCTTGGGGTTGGCGGGGACTTGGGAAAACTGGTGAAATGCTGCCACTCGCCAACATGAAAGAAACGTCGGAGTTGTGCCTTCCTGTCAGACGCCCGATTATAGTAGCAGCTGAGAGATGGGATGCACAGATTAAAGAGACAGGCCCATCCATATTGATTAATATGAAGAAATTGTGGGCACAGCTTAAGCTCCTACCTTCTCAGAGGCATGCGTCGTTGCTGTGGCACCTCTCCCTACTTGTCACCCCCTCTGCTGTCTGTCTGGTAGGCAAGGGGATGGACATTCAGATCGGATGCAGCAGATGCACATGGCCGTTTGAATCAACAACTCACCTGTGGTGGGACTGCCCCGCCTAGAGACGGATACGGGCATGGTGGGAACTCCATTGGAAGGATTTTGCTCCTTGGGACTGGGAATGGAGTAGATTGTGGGTCCTTTTGGGAGTTTTGCCCCACACGATAGCAATAGAGGAAGGCTGCGGGTATAGAGGAAGGCTGCGGGTATAGAGGAAGGCTGCGGGTATGTGGTACAGGCTTGCATAGCCATTGTCAACTCTGTTATCTGGGACAACAGAAACAAGGCTGTGTTCCAGAACAAGGGATCGACGGATGTAGAGGTTAAAAACCGAATCCGAGTAAGATTGAGGCGTTATATTAAGATGGACTGCAGTAGAAGGTTAAAAACCAAATCTGGGCAGGGATTGAGGTGGTTTCTCAAAACATGGGCTTGTAGTAGATCAGATAATTGGTTGGTAAAGGTTAACTCTAAAGGAAAATTGGAGTTCTGTCTTTGGTTAAAGTAAATTACAGGAATTAGAAGGCAAGGGGGCTGGGTGGTGAAACATTGTTGGTTTCTTTCTTGGTTGTGTCCCATTTTGGAACTGAGGTAGAAGTGTCAATGGGGGCGGTCGCCCAGCAGGCCGATTTTTAGACCTGCATGTTCATTTGGCATGAATGGTAGTTATAGGATAGAAGAGCAGGGGGCTCGACGGATTTAATCACCCTCAGGCCCTGCTGCTAGAAGGGTTTAAGCAGTAGTTGTGTTTCCTGGTTTGGATAAACTGAAGCTGGAGGTTTCTCCGGTGCCGTGTTTCTTCCGGGTTGTTTGTTGAGGATTCCCGGGGGCAAGTCCCACTAGCCTCGTGGAGTTTCCGCAAAGACCGAACCTGGACGTGTTTGTGGAGATGTGCCGAAATAGGGTTGAGTTTCCTCAAACGCAAATAGCCACCAACACGTCTAGATTCAGGCATTGAGGAAACTCAACGCCGCTGGTGGGACTTGACCCCCGGCCTCTAAATTCTTATGTTTGGAATAAAGGAATCCCCCACTTTTTCCCGAAAAAAAAAAAAAAAAAAAAAGAATTATGGCCTATGAAAAAGAAAAAAAAAGGAAAAGGTCGGCAGATTCTTTCGCAGGTGCCGACACAGCCACTCGTGCTCGTTTTGTCACGGGGCGAGGTCCCGACAGTCGAGGGCTTTGTCTTTTCCGACGCCTCCATTTTCCGGTTTCAAATTGGCGAGCAGCGGAGCGCGGCAGAGCTTTTGTTTCTTTCTGTTGGATGGAAAGCGTGCGTGGACTTCGGGCGTTGCCACTTCACAGTCGAAACCAAACCAGCCATATACATATGCAGCTTTGAGCACATATGAACGATAATAGATGCATGTTGCCATGTTTGTGAGGAAGATACGCCCGTACTTTTTCGCTTCGACGGCGGTTTGGCAAATTGGCAATGCCCTCTATTGCTCATAGCCCGGCAATAATCCTAGATATCCTCGTTATTGACTATTCCTAGGTCGTAAATCCCAACGAAAGTGCCAGTGTTGACTACGCGCGGGAAGGCACAGACACAAACAGGCGCCAAGGTCTCATTTTGCACATTTCCAGAATAATGGACCGAGGGCAAATATTCCAAGATCTTCAATATATATATATATATCGTCACAAACAGAACTGCCTATATATATATATATCGTCATATATATTCCTACATCGTAAATCCCAACGAAAGTGCCAATGGATGCTACGCGCGGGAATGCAGGGCCACAACCGATGTGGCAATGCAGTACTGGCGTCGCCTCATGGCACAGAAAACGAAATGAACGAGAAGAGCGAAGGCGGGGACGGCAATCAACGTGTCTCCGGCCTCGGACTTTGGTAATAAATGAAGAGTTTGTTTTAAAAAAAATAATAATAAAAAATAAAAAATAAAAAAAATTCAACATGTCTCCTAGGCAATGCTTACACATGGCACTTCGCTAAATGTATCTGGCGGCAACTGCGGCCTGCCTTGGACAAATCTAAAATTAATCAGCTCCAGAAATAACCCGAGGCTGGGTGTCTCTTCACCGAAATTGGGCCTCGCTGCACCACTCTCGAAATGTGCAAAACGAGAGTGAATATTCCGTTAGAATATGGAAAGATACACGCCCATGATGTTTGTCTTTTGTGCATTTCAAGAGTAGTGCAGCGAGGCCCATTGTGTGTGAAAGGGACATACACGCGAGCCCCAGCTCCCACCACGTGACACTCCTCTGGGATAGTGTGGAGCCAGCACGGAAAAAGTCGGACCCTCCATCGGGCGGCTGCTCTGACCCCTGGTCTGATCTTTTTTCCTTTTTTGTTTTTTCGGCGGCAGGCAGTTCCGAGTAGCGGGTGTTGCAGAGGCGGGCGGTAGCAAAGGAGATGGCTCATGTGATGAAGGAATAAAAGAGATGGTAGACGACTCCCAGATCAAGCGTGCTCACAAACGTACGGGGCGATTGTCAGCTCTCGGCGCAAGGTACGTGGTGAGCAGCGGCTCTGTGTACTTGCTTCAGCAATAGGCACTCATTTTGCGTTCCGTCCTTTCGATACGTCCTTTTCCTTATTTCGGGTCCACGAACTTCATAGCCACATTTACCTTCTTCCTTATATCTCTTCCCGGCTATCTCCCTGCGTCTGGTTGTCTTTTTGCTTGTCTGCCTCGCCTTCCGTGGTCGAGCTTCTGTTTTCCCCTTTCGCTGCGTCATTTTCCTATTTCCGGTCATCGAACTTGGTAGCCACATCTATCTCTCCGATCTCTTCCTGGCTTTCTCCTGCCTCTGGATTTCTTCTTGCTTGTCGTGGCATGGACTAAATTACCCCATTCGTTCTTTTTGGCCTCTTCTTCTCTGCTTACGCTGTCTCTTTATGCGAAATCTGCAAATAGGAGTATCAAGGATAGACGTGATGCCGATATAAAAGAGTAGGCATAAGTGAGTCGGCAAATAATCGAGTGGAGAAGGGGTCGCACTCTGTTTACTTCGAGTGGAGAAGGCGTCTCTCTCTCTCTCTCTCTCTCTCTCTCTCTCTCTCTCTCTCTCTCTCTCTCTCTCTCTCTCTCTCTCTCTCTCTGTGTGTGTGTGTGTGTTTGTGTCTCTCCCCACCCCCACCTCCCCCTGTTCCCTTTCGCTCTCGGCTGTTCGACTCGGTATTCGTCTCTGTGCTTCGTTCGCGTTTGTTTGTATAGTTGGCGCGGTGTGTCTGGGGAGTGGTGATGATAACGCACTTTTGACCTTCTGTCGTGTGCAAACAGGAGAGACTGTATGGGTTCGAAAAGTCCAAGTCTCTTTGCGTGTAATGGAGGGAGGCTGTCCGGCAGCGAACGGAATGAAGGAAAGATTCCCCAAGTGCCGCGGTGAACTGCTTGTCGTTGCTGGGGATCTTCTGTATTTTCGGCAATGAACTGACCTCCTGTATTAGTTGGAATTTAACTGTCTTTTGGTTGCTGGGGATCTTCTGTATTATTGGCAACGACCTTCCGTTGTGTGCAATGACCTTCCGTCGTGTGCAACGTAGCTTTCGTCGTGTGCAAAATGTAGCATTGTCTGATTGTCACCGACTCGAGAGATCGCGTGTGGTGGTTTTCCGATTGTGGCATGAAAGAGAAGATTCCGTCCGTCCGGTTTCGCATTCCCTCCTACCTTTCTCGTGTTCATGTTCGTCCTTGATTTTCTCCCTCCACCAGTTCGTGACTCTCTCATTTACCAGAGACTCGCGCCGCCTCCCCTCTCTGTACTCCATGCTTGCTTTGACCGCTTCCGAGTTGCTGTCAACGTAGTCTATGGCGTGCTGGTGTTGATGGTGACGACGAGCCTGCCTGGTCTGCACCTGAATCTGGTTGCCTTTTGGCCGCATCTTCCCGTGTTTTTCGTCAAAGTTTCTGTTTTGTATCGAGTGGCGGCAAAATCATGCACTCAATGGACTTGCTGAGTCCATTTAGAGGTATTGTCGTGTGCAGTTCAACACAGCGGATTGCGTTCGGTTCTCGGACAGTCCTTCGCGCGAAAGAGACGCTTCCCGTTGCAATAATTTTCCTCCAAATATTCCCGTGTCTATCTTCGCGTTGGAGTGCGTTACCGGAGTCGAGCTGGAGCTCCCCCCACTCCAGCTTCTCTTTGACCGCTTCAGTCTGAACGGCTGTCAAGGTGCGTGTGCGTGTGACGTTGTTGCCGAGTTGATGATGCTCATGGCGATGACCACCGCATCTGCTGCGCGCGTGAAGCTCCTGTCCGCGTCTGAAACACTCTGTTTGCCGTGACCCTCGAGTCAACTGTCTGACCAACGTTTGCGTCTTGCTCTTCTGTCCGGGTCTGAAACACTCTGTTTTGCCGTGAGCCTACTTCTTGTCTTCCCGGTTTGATATCCTTTTGGTTTTGTATCTCCGTGTGCTGCTCGTAGCTTGTGTGGTAGGTAGTTCAGAGCGGTCCTAGGGCGCTGCGCGGTGGGTTCTCGAGCAATTTGTTCGTGACRCCATGACGCGTGTGGGCGGGCTCACTGTCGAAGCTGACCAATCGTGATTCTTAATTGTCACATCGCTGCGTTGCTCTCTCTGTTCGATGGTTGGTTGTCTCTCCTGTTGCTGCAGGTTGCGCTGTTGGGAATTTGAAGTCGCACACCATAGCGTTTGAAGCGAAAGCAGTGCCAGTCGCAAAGATGGGTCGGTTTTCGTTGGCCTTGGCCGTTGCCAGCTTGGTCGTCCTGGCTTGCGCCCTCCATGTCGCAGATGCCAAGAAGCCATGTGCCTGCGCCCCTGGGACGAAGCGCTGCTGTAAGGACGGTCCCTGCCTCAAGTGCTGCAAGGATTGTGATTGCGGCCCCGGGAAGAAGTGCGTCAACGGGGAGTGCAAGCCGTCGTGCGGCTGCCCGGCTGGACTGAAGCGATGCTGTAAGGACGGCCCCTGCGTGAAGTGCTGCAAGGACTGCGATTGCCCCAAGGGGCACAAGTGCGTCAAGGGACAGTGCAAGTCCCCTTGCGGCTGCCCGACTGGGCTGAAGCGCTGCTGCAAGGACGGTCCCTGYGTGAAGTGCTGCAAGGATTGCGATTGTCCCAAGGGGCACAAGTGCGTCCACGGAAAGTGCAAGCCCTCGTGCTGCCCCAAGGGACTGAAGCGCTGCTGCACGGACGGTCCCTGCGTGAAGTGCTGCAAGAACTGCGATTGTCCCCGTGGGCAGAAGTGCGTCAGGGGACAGTGCAAACCCTCGTGCGGCTGCCCGCTTGGACTGAAGCGCTGCTGTAAGGGCGGTCCCTGCGTGAGGTGCTGCAAGAATTGCGATTGTCCCAGCGGTCAGACTTGCGTCAAGGGACAGTGCAAGCTTCCATGCTGCCCCAAGGGACAGAAACGTTGTGTGCCCTGCGGTCCGTGCAAGAAGTGCTGCAAGGATTGTGATTGTGCCCAGGGAGAGAAGTGTGTCCTGGGAGAGTGCAAGCCTTGTGGAAGTGCAACGGTCACAAGTGCAACGGTCTCGCTCTCGCCAATTGAGCCAACTCCATGAGGGAAGTGCTGCAATGATCATCATGGTGGGCGCTGGATGAAGTGCGGTCAGTGACAGTGCAAGCCTGTGTGAGGGCAATGAGCGGCGTCCCTTGTCCGTTCGGTAGAACGGTAAATGCAGCGTAATTGCTTTCCGTTGAGCAGCATTAGTAGAAACAGACGTTGCGGTAGTGCTGATGCTGAGTCTGCAGTACGCTTTGTTGCAAACGAGCTTGCTTACCTTACTATGGTTCTGAACTACCCGCGGGCTCTACAACTTGGGTTGAACGATCTGACAGGTTTAGCGGGTCGGTTTCCTTCGTAGGGAACAATTATAGAGGATCGAGGTTGATCTGCATTCCCCATGATTGCCACTATTAGGTTACAGTCTTCGGTTTTCACGAGTCGTGACAAAGTAGAACTAGGCTCATCACCAACAGCCGAGCCGCTGAAGTTCGGGCTTCCAACAGCGGGAGCTCTGGAAAAGGCGTAGTGCACAGAGCCACGGCAGTGTGCTCTTGGCTTCCCTCGCAGTCATGGGTGACCCTCTATGAGGGCTTGACACGGCTGTCCGTAATTGATTGGTGAAGAGAGGAGACGGAACCTGTTCCTATTTTCAGATCGTTATCCTTCACCCCAGCAGATCCAGCCGGATCTGCTTTATTGTTTGCTTTCTTCATAACAATGAAATCAATTTCTCATTTTCGCTTGTGAGTCGATACCATTTCTTTGCGTCCCAGTACTGTTGTCTGATGGAGCCTCTTTCTCGGTCTTTGCCTTTATCTGATTCTCTTGCGGGAGAACATGAGCAATACTTATTTTATTTCGATCGATTCTCAGCTCAGCAACAGTAGACTGGGAGCTGATGATGGCACCATGTTGATGGAACGAGGTCTGACATGGGAATTGAGGAAAGCAAGCTGAAGGAAACATATGCGTAAATACCTGGTGTGGACAAAAATGCAGGGCTGCTTTGGGTGCTCGACTTGTAGGCAAGTATACGGCCAGCACCTTCCATTGTGACGAAAAAAATGCCCATGGATGACCTTAAATTTTTGGATTAATAGCAAAAATATTGCTCCTTTCAAGTTTGGCACCAAAAATATCGTCCGTTCGAAGTTCCTTTGCAAAAATAGAGGTTTCGTTGCAGCTTTATGGGGTTCCCATAGTTTGCCTACAAAAATACCGCGTTTTGCTCAGTTTCACAGCGAAGGACCCCTAGGCCTCTGGCCTCAGGGACTCAGGGACTCAGCGTTCTGGGGCCTCAGGCACTCAGTGTTTTTTTTTTTTTTTTTTTTTTTTTCGGGCATGGCCG